AAGAACAGAGTAAAAAAGAAGGTCTGTTATGATTACGGTTTTGCCCCTTGAATCAAGGTACTCCGTGACATTTTGAGTTAGTACTCTGTGGGACTACTGGTGGAGTGCCAAATCATGATGGCCATTGGATTTGGAGAAATAGACGGTCCATATTAATTTTGGGGTACCGTAAAAGAGCTCCTACAGAAAAGGCCTAGACGTCTGTTGCTTCGACCATCGGCCAAGGGTGGCCGCCCGTGACCATCCCCAGCCCGTCACCCGACGATTAATTGACCAAACCTCCTTTCTTCTAGATGACGCCTTCTGCAACGACGAGACCCCCTTCTCTTGTCTGGTTACCTCCTGTGATGGCCTCCTCATCTTCCGCAGCGGGCTCAACAACTTCTCCATCTGCAATCCGGCAACTCGCCAATATGCTCGCATCCCACTGCCTACACATCTTAACTGGTGGATTCTGGGAATGTACCCTCACCCCCCTACCGGCGAGTACAGACTATTGCTCTACTCTTACATACCGGCACCCGGGAGTGATGCTGCGTGCCACGTCTTGGCACTGGGCCCCGTCCAGCCTCCGAGGCACATCGGGTGGCCAGATGCGATTACACATATGATTACGGAGCTAGAATCGGACCCTCGTGTGCTATTCCGTGGTAGCCTGCATTGGTACCCATTGTATTATGAAGTCAAAAACACCATGATAGTGGTGTTTGACACCACATCTGAGTCATTCCGGGAGATGCTTGCTCCCGTTGTTACTCACTGCGCTGACTTGTTTGAGATGGACAACATGCTCAGCATGTCCGCCTTTGATTATGTGAAAACCATTGATATATGGGTGTTGCAAGACTATGAAAGGGAGGTCTGGGCCTTAAAACAGAAGATTAAATTGCCAATTGTGGAGATCAAGGTGCAGTATGACAAGTATGACGGTAGGTTGGATTTGATGGTTGTGCCGGGGGATGGTGAGTTGCTCGTGTTGGTCAAATTTGACGAGTGGCTTCTTCTTGTTGGCATGGATGGCAAGTTGGTCGCCACTTCCCATCACAAAGAAGTCGGTCTTAGTCACTTTAATTTCAAACAAACTCTTGTTCCGCAAACCTTCTTTTCGACACTAGAAGGTTGTGTAATGCTCCGCCCTTCATCTAAAGATTGTTGAGTGAGTTGGTGCTTCGTAACATCATTGATGTTTGTATCCTCATGAGCTGCAAGTTATATGAATTGGATCCACTATGAGCTACTAGCTTCTTTGATGATGCAAGTAAAATTCTACTCATGACGCTCTGGCTGTTACATAGTTGCATGAAATCCATGCGTGTCTCGATACCCTTCCATGTTGAACAAAGTGCCTACTGAGCATGTTGATTCCAAGATTATCAAGTCATTTTGATGTGTGTTTAAAATTCTGTGCTAACTATTATGTGTGATGTTTCTATTTTCTGTCATAGAAGAATTATGTTCCTCGTTTATCTCTAGGTCTTCTTAGTACTTGTATAGAAAAAGTGATGCAAGGATATCAGAAAATAAAGTATGGAACTAGTTCCAGATCGTACCTAAAGATTTTCTCTTAGGACTACTGGTAACGAATTTGTGATGATGGACAGATTAATATCTTTGTGGACAAATACTGGAAAACAAAATTAAGTTTTAAGGTGAAAATATGCGCACCTGGTTGTCCAGAACACAAATGAAGCTTCCTCACCACAAGCAGTACTTTCAGAATTATTTACATATTTTTATTGCAGTTGCCGCTTTTTTTTTTCATGTGGCATTACTGATCGCTACGTTAAAATCTTCAGTGCCAACTTCAAGCTTCTTCGTTGACATGAACAGAGGCTCTTAAGATCAAAATTACAAGATTGCAATACCTAGTGTTCTACAACTGTGAATCAGTGGTACAAACTCTACACATTCGCATTGCTAATTAAGCTTAGTATTTGCTCAATTTGGTAACCAGTACACATCAGAATGAACACTGTTTCACGCAAACTCTTCATGGGATCTATCAGAATGAACACTCTCTCTCAGAAACTCTCCATGGGAGCTATGTGTGATGTCTTGTGTCTAAATTAAGCATAATGTTTAATCAGCATCAGAATGAACACTCTCTCACAAATAATTATTCCCTTCCCTTAACAAGAGGTACAACTGATAAACAAGTATGTAAGTACATATCAGGACTACAGGGCGCCCGCTTGGCGGAGGAGGGGCACGAGATGGCCGCCGAGGTGCAGCTCCATGACCTGCCTGGTGCCGCCGACGAGGGCGCCACGGATGAATACCGCAGGCACCGCCGGGCTTTGGCCCACCATGCCAGCGAGCGCCCTCTCCACATCCTCTCTCTGGGGGTCCTTGCCCACCTCGTGCACCGTAGAGCTCACGCCCAGTTGCGCAAAGAGCCCCGTCATCGTGTGGGACATGCAGCAGGAGCTCGCCCCAAAGATCACCACCGTGCCCTGCGACGCCATCGCGGTCACCCTCTCCGCCATTGCTGAATTGCCTAGCTATCTCTCCTCTGTATCTCGATCGATCAGTTCACTTCACTTGAGCTAGCTATATGCTGCTGCTTCCTGCAGCTTGTGATGGTGATGACCCAACATTTATAGATGGCTGGGGCAAAGTTTGTTAATAAGAGGAAGTGCTTAATCGAGGTGTAAGGGGATAGCTGTGACGTGTAGAAAATCGGGGATAATATACATCCGGTGTTAAAAGGTTCTGTTCTAGCACTACTTGTAAACATTGCTTTTGGGAGGGGCAAAAAAAATCATACAGTTAGGTACGGCCAGAATTGGGGCTAGTCTTTTGTACTATTTTATGATGTTTTGAATAAGTAAAAACAAAGACGAATAAGATCCAAGATAAGCTGGCGGGACTTTGGTCATTACTCCCTCCGTTCCAAAATAGATGACCCAACTTTGTACTAAAGTTAGTACAAAGTTGAGTCATCTATTTTGGAACGGAGGGAGTACTAAGTACTAACATATATAGAAAAAAGGATGGTGGTACCGATGGATCAAATTCAATGCTTCAGCTATTTTTTTAGGGGTCAATGCTCCAGGCTCCAGTTGTTGATTCATTAGGTTCTTGATAAGCTAGATTAGGATCCACTCTAATTGGCTGTTTTGCCATTTGTGTGTGACAAGGAATATCACTGGGGTGGAGTTGTGGACATCATGCGTCACATTTCTTTTTCTCAGTTGCGGAATTGTGCATGACAAGGAATGCCATTAAGACCACTCCATGAAATGGCATATATCAAATTTACCCTTAGAATTGCTAGTGGTAACTAGTGGTGATGGGTGGATTACAGCTTTGTTAACATAAAAAATGCAAAAAAAGGAATTAAATTTTGAAAAAAGAATAATGTGAATAACATTCAATATGTGTACCTTGCCTTGTCGTTTCAGCCACCCCAGTGAACACAAAAGGAAACTTCCAGCCATTTCCAGAGTATTTCCTCTTTCAGATGCTGGTCATTTTAATTTGGAAGTCTTCCAAAGTTTTCTACACTACCGGCCATTGCCATAAAATCTTCACATAGGCTATATCCTATACACACTGCCGTCAAACTTAAAAGATTCAGTGCAGTTCTATTGGATATCTTGCAATATACCTCTGCAAAGTTCAGTTTTTTGTACTGAAATGAACAGAGGTTACCCAACTTACATGACCGATTGACTGCAATATCTACTCCCTCCGTTCGGAATTACTTGTCTCGGAAATGGATGTATCTAGAACTAAAATACATCTAGATACATCCATTTTCGCGACAAGTAATTCCGAACGGAGGGAGTACTATTTTAGGAAGAGAAATAACTATAGGCAATATCTTATACGCACCATGGTTAATCTTAGAAGACTCGGTGTAGTTCTGCTGGATAACTTGCAATACACTTGTGCAAACTTCAGGTTTTTCAGTGAAGTGAATAGAGGTTCTTAAGATCCAACGTATATTATCGCATAATCTAGTGTTTTATGACGTGGCATGAACGTCTACACATTTGAGCTGCTTGGTTTAATATTTGTTAACAAACTCAGAACCAAGTACAAGCCTACTCATATACTTATTGGCCAAATTGCAGACAAAACAACACATGTTGATTGCATAGTAGTCACAAATACTAAAGAATAAAACAAGGTAAAAGGGCATACACTAGTTAGCTGAGTGCAAGCCAAGCCCATCTGAATAATATTGATTGCTCAATGCTCATCCATTTCCATACCTCATCAGAGAAACATAGCTCTCTATCATAGAAGTCGTACCCAGTGACAATATTATAAAGATTAAAACACAGGGGGGTCGTTACTTTTGATCATGTCGCCCGTTCAATGCAGGAAAAATAGGTGGCCAGATCATCATGAAGGGAGATATATGTATGTGGTTCAAAACAAGGTAAAAGGGCAATATCTAATACACTGCCGTCAAGCCTAGAAGGTTCAGTGCAGTTTGCTGGATATCTTATACGTTTCCAAACTTACATGACCGATGGACTTCAATACCTACTGTTTCAGGAAGAGAAATAACTATAGGCAATATCTTATACGCACCACGGTTAATCTTTGAAGACTCAATGTAGTTCTGCGCGGATTACTTGCAATACACTTTTGCAAACTTCAGGTTTTTTCAGTGAAATGAACAGAGGTTCTGAAGATTCAGCTTACATGACCACAAAAATCTAGTGTTGTACGACATGGCATAAACATCTACGTTTGTATTCGTAAGCTTAATATTTGCTATCAAACTCGGAACTAAGTACAAGCCTATCGAACAAACAGGACCGCATGTGTTGATTGCAGAGTAGTGACAAATGCTAAAGAATAAAACACGGTAAAGTGGCATACACTAGTTAGATGAGATGTAATCAAGCCCATCTGAATAATATTGATTGCTCATCCATTTCCAATTTTCCATACCTTATCAGAGAAACATAGCTTCATGTCATAGAAGTCATAGTCATACTCATACCCAGTGATGATTTTACAAAGATCAAAACATAGGGGGGTCATTGCTCTTGATCATGTCGCCTGTTCTTCAGTGCAGGGAAAACAGGCGGCCAGATCATCATAAAGGGATAGATAGGTATGTGGTTCATACCCGGACGAATAAAATGATGATCAAGCAGTGCCTGCTCGTGCACCTTCTCAACTACCCTGCTTCTCAGATGAACATAGAGGACAACACCATATCTCGCATAATCCAAGAATACAAACTCGGCATTGTCCCCGACTGCAGCAACACCAAGAAAATCACCATCTTGTGCCATCCAAACCCAATCGCGACCAGCAGAACATCGGACACAAAATGTGTCCACCAGCAGCCATCCGCCTGCACCATCGTTGTCGCCCATCATCCCATGGAGCCACACACTGAGATGAAACCCGTCTGCACTGACAAGATAGATCCCGGAACCCTCCGCACATGAAAGCATATAGTTGCTCCGCACTCCAACTGGTAGCTCAAGGGTGAAGAAGGTTGACGTGGCCAAATCTAGACCCAGGATGTACCCAAAGCCGGTCACCATGACTTGCCATGGACGGGTGGTAGCATTTCTATAAAGTTTGTTTCAGCATACGGGAGATCTACATCTGTAACGGCTGTGGTAGGGATGCCCCATCCGTCGGATCCCAGCACGCACACTTCAGCACGGACTTCTCGCCAGACCATCCATAGACTCACCAAGGTGATGCCGTTGCCGTCGCGGCCCCCGTCCTCGGGTAGGAAAGTCTGAGAGAATACCCTTGAGTGTGAGCGCGCAGCCTGCGGGAGATGGCGGGGCAGCGGGGTCTGTGGGAGGACCGCTTCGGACTCCCCAGTGAGCAGCGGCTCGTGGAGGGAGTGCCTGTATGTTCCCTCATGCAAGAACACGGTGATGAGGCGGCTGTTCCGGCAGTGCACGACGCGCTTGTATGAGCTGGCGGCGAAGGCATCGTTGCAGGAGGAGGCCACACGGCGTGAGAGGGCGGCGAGCTCTGGGGGCTGCGGAAGCGGCAGGAACTTGTATGGTGTCTCGGGGTAGCAAGCGAAAACACCGAGGACACGGTGCGGGTTGCGGTCGCGGAAGCAGCGGAGGAAGGCTGGCTTGGAGGCGTGGTGGAGCCACCGCTTGGAGACGAGGGCGGCGCGGACGAGGCAGGTGGGGAAGCCGAGGCGGAGGAGGATCTCGCGCAGGAGGTCGTCGTCGCCAAGCACCGCCGCCGCCGACGCGAGCGCGGCGGCCACCGGCAACCGTCGATCTTCGTCCATAGTTTTGGCCGGCCAAAGTTTGAGGGATTTTCCGGTGGGAGGGGTTTGGAGGGGTTTCGATGGGAGCGGAGGAGGAATTTATGTAGGCAGAATGGATACGCCACGGCTGAATCGATCGTTTCCTTCCTATTTCTTCTTCTTGATTCATTTTCCACCGTTGGGTTATAACGGTTGGATTGTGCCCCTGGCGTCATCCCTTACGTCATTTTCGCCTCACATCTCATTCTTAAGTATTCCGCCCGTTCATTTTTCACCGTTGAATTAGGACACTAATAATGGTTGGATTGTGCCCCCGCGTCATCCCTTACGCCATCTTCGTCTCACTCATGCATCTCATCCTCGATTATTCCTCCAGTCCATTTTCTCCGTTGGATTAGAACGAAAATAACGGTTGGATTGTGCCCCTGTGTCATCACTTACGTCATTTTTGTCTAACACATGCTACTCATTCTTGAGTAACTCGCGAGCGAATTTTCATCGTTGGATTAGGACACTAATAACAATTGGATTGTGCTCATGCGTCATCTCTTACGTCATCTGTCGTTGTCGTCGCAGCACAGGAGCGCGTCATAGCCTGGTCTCTGCTTGTAGCAGGGTCGCGACGGGTTGCAGCTCTGCCATAGTCGGTTGCAGCTTCCGCCGACACTAGTCGTAGCACGAGCCGACGACTGTTGCAGCTTTTTCAACCGGTAGTCCTGACATAGGTCGCCATTGTTTGCAGTCTGCCATGCCCAGCTGCAGCTTTTGCCGCGGTTGTAGCATGAGCCGATGCTAGTTGCAGCTTTTTCCACCACCAATCCTGTCACAGGGCGAAGCCGGTTGCACTACTGTAGCGCGTGTGCACACTAGTTTCAACATTGGAGAGCACTGGTTCCAGCGTTGCCATGTCAAGGTTCCAGCATGTCCATGTCACACTGTCACAGTTCCAACACCACTGCAGCCTGTCGGTCGCAAAATTTGGTGCTGCCGATTGAAGCTACGCATGTCGGTGCTCGCAGCTGACAGAGTCGTATACGGCAGATGTTGGGTAGGGGGTCCCAAGCTAGTAGCCTTTATGCGATGGTAACAATGGACACAAGGATTTTACCTAGGTTCGGGCATCTCGAAAAGATAATGCCCTACATTCTGCTTTTTATTGTATTCATATGTGGTATAGTAAAGAGTACATGTTTCTACCATGAAATTGTTGTGTAAGATTCTAATGATCTATCGACTAGCATGGCCCCGGTTTGTATAATGTACTGGAGGCCTAGGAGTTAGAAGAGTCATTGTCTCGTATACCAAGTCTTGTTTAGTCTTCCTTTGTATGCGTCATGGGTTGCCCGAAGTGGCCCGCTAATGAACCGCCATGAGGGTCCTCGGCCCGGCCCTCCTGACCGGGAGACGACATGGTGAGTACCCCTAGTCAGGACTCCATCAGTACCCCTAGAACCACTCTTCAAGCCAGGGCACTCCTTAATTCTTCCGAACTGTTCATTGTCTTCAGTCGTCAGTGTTGAAAGCTGGTTTAACAAGTTTTCTCATCTCCGATCTCAAGGATCGCCGAGGTGTATCCGAAGATTTCACACGTCAGACATCCGAGGAGCTCCTTCTAGGTTCCCTTAGCCTTTATTAGACGTATTATTAATTAAACGCCACACCTTGGCGGGTTAAAACAAATTGTGCGGCGGTGTCTTCTTGAAGTCGAGCTCCAATATCAGACTGCATCCGAGGTGTCACAAATCACCTCGGTCTTGAAAATAGCCAAGCTTAACGCCGGAAAGTCTTCTGTGTAGCCAGCCGCTCGCAGCCGGCCTTTGTGAGACTGCTTCCGAAGTGGTGCATCACCTCGTTCTTGGATGATTTTTTTTCTAATTGGTGCATTTTATTCTGTGGTGAGATGTATAGCGAGTAGTTGTTGTGTGCCGGGCTTAAGTCGGTATGCACCTGGAGGATAGAATAAAACCGCTGATCCCAGTAGCCTCCGAGACTCGGGTCGAATCGCAAAATCATCATGAGGACTAACTCCTTGCTCGGCAGCATAATTTTGGAACAGAAATACGGTGTGCAGTAGATTCGACGCTTGCTACCATGAATCATGGAGACAACATTTTTCAAAGGCTTTTATGACATTGATCCTGATCTAGACGTGGTAAAAGTTACCAGTGAAGTCTTGCGATTGTGGTTCTGTAAACAGAACCTCACCAACCTTTGCCGCAAGAGATGGCACAAGATGTGCATATAAGTCTTGTACATCATGAATTTGAGTCCAGATCTCAATGGTGTCTAGTTGTACTGGGAAGGCTTCACCACTCCATTGTACGGCATGATGATCACTGTGTCGCCTCTAAAGTGGCATGGACCATCCTGGGTGACTCTCTCCCAACCTCCTAGGCAGGAAAATTATACAGTATAGAGATTGTGCTCCAATGGCTTGAATTTCGCCTCTCGGTCAAGATCCCATGCTTCTCTCATGTTCCTATAGAACCAGAATTGACTATAGGGTTTGTTGGAGTGTACCCTTGCAAGAGAAATCCACTGAGCCTCCACCGTCGGCGCCTCTTCTCGTCAAACACCACATCATCCAGATCCTCTTCTCGCAGCCCTAATTCTTTCATCAGTTTCTCCACATCACCGATCTCCTTTGGACCTGCAACCCCATATCCCGAAGCCTCGCTTGATGAAATCTCGAATCCTAACCCGAACGAAAATCGACTGGGCCTTCCTGAGGTAACCCTAGAGCCTACGCCTTCCATAGCCTCTCCAGAAACCTGGAGGCGTCGTAGAGAACGCCCCCTGATCAAGCACAAGAACGGCGGAACGAGACTGATGTAGGGAAAGACAATCTTGACGACGGCGAAAAATCGCAGTGGGGGGACTAGAACCCTAGTAAGAGGCGAAGTTTTCTTTCTCCACGCAGGTTGTCTTGCACATTGCTTCACTTTCTCCACATTCTCCTACTAAGGCCCTATTTGGTTCATAAGTCCTAGGACTTTTTTTAGTCCCAACTTATAAGTTCCAAGTCCCTACCTGTTTGGTTCCTAGGACTTATAAGTCCCTATAAGACCATATTACAACTATAAGTCCCTATAAGACTTTCCTTGAGAGTCTTATTTCATAAGTCCCAAATGCCTACTTTAAGTCCTTATAAGTCCCTCCTGTTTGGTTTAGATGGGACTTATAAGGACTTAAAAAAGTCCCTAAACCAATAAGTCCTGGAAACAAACACCCTCTAAAACATCTCGCATGGGCTCAATCTTTCTTTCAGGATGCCTGGGCTCAGTCAAACCATGTGGCAACACAGCCCATGAGGCACTAGTTATGGGCTTCTCTTTTATAGAAGGGCCACATGATTATTCTGGAAGAGCCACGTGATGATTCTACTTCCTCCGTTCCTAAATAATTGTCTTTCTAGCCATCTCAAATGGACTACAACATATGGATGTATGTAGACATGTTTTAGAGTGTAGATTCACTCATTTTGCTTCGTATGTAGTCACTTGTTGAAATCTCTAGAAAGACAATTATTTAGGAACGGAGGGAGTAGAACATAGTGAAGAAAAAGGCTGTCTATTGTCTCAAAAAAAAGTTGTCTCCTGTTCATACGAATTCATACGAATCGTGCTGATAATGGCAGTTGGATTTAGAAGACCAACCGTTATGACCGATGCTCTCAGTCCAATTTAAAACTGATCCACTATGTAGAATACTAGATCATTGATGGCGCGCGTTGCTGCGCCCGTCTATTTTTGCTCTTAGTTGTTAGGTATATAAAGTAACTTGTATATATTTGTTTGCAATGCTTTTAAATAGTGTGCTTGTGCCCTCCATAATGGCATGTAACTAAAGAGAGAAATCAAGAATATAATAATATGTAACTCGAGAGAGAAATCCAGTCCAGTTGATCTGCAAAAAAGTAGTGTTTTGAGTTTTTTTCCTTACGTCTAATGTTTGAGTTGTGGTATTAAGCGGATTCGATATGAATTAGGATGATTGATATGGATCGTGACATTGTTTTGACTCCTAGAAAGACTCTCCTGCAAAGGCTCATATCACAATAACTAAAAAATAGAAATATTGAGGAAATACATCAGGAATATTTAAGAGAGAAAAATAGGCAGCAAGGATATTTCAAAACTATTGGACAATATTTATTATCTAAAAAATGGCAATGCGTTCTGCCAGTAATACACTTATAACATCGTATTCTAACGGACAAATATTCTTGCATTGAGCCATGATAGATAACTGAATGTGTACTTGCTCAGATTTGAGGTTGTAGAATTCCATCTGATCTACAATAATAGAAGTTTTCTTAAGCTTAATATCAAATGCCAGTGGACTGTTGTAAATAATGGCTCAAGTTGGGTTGCATCTTAACCAACTTACAATTGCTTACATTGAAGTACTCCCTCCGTCCCAAATTACTTGTCTTAGATTTGTATTTATCTAGATGCGTTTTAGTGTTAGATACAACAAAGGTTGTACAAACAAAACACATATTAGAAAGGTATATAAATTGAGGAAATAACTACATAAGAAGTGTCTCAAGGAGAAGTGCAAAACAGTTATAATTGCTCCTTAAATGACATTGTGTATGTTGATGAAGGAAACAATTACTAAAACATTGGCTACCTAACACTATCGGTAAGCAAACACCATGTATCAAATCAGAATCATAAATTGAGTGGTTTACAAAACTGTCCTTACTATATAAAATGAGAATTGCATGAATTGATTAAAGCTCGTGTATGTGCATGCATGTTGATGTGCCCATAAAATTTATGATACCTTTCACATGCTAACGCTGGAGTAAAATTAGCCACTTGCTTCAAGATACGGCAAACTATTAAAATAAATTACTACTAACGAAGTTTACCTGATTTTGTAGCTAAGAGGTAAATACAGTAATGTGTGATGAAGATCCCAAACCAGCCACTTGATGGTCCATGAACATTTACGAATCTTTTGATAAAAAATATTTGCATCTGGCTTGTAAGATCCCCTCTGCCAGAACTTAA